ATATAAATCTCACCACAGTAAATGATATCAGTGTAGTCACACGTGAACTAACTTACTTTGCCTCAGAAATTGTAGAGGAGCAAATGAGTATTGGAACCACAAAAACATTAGAAGAAGCTATCTCTAAAACCGAATTAATTACTGATATAATAACCAGCCTAAATAAAATAAAACAAAGATTATTAAATCAGTAAATTTTAATAAGGTAATTAATGAAAGCAAAAATATTTGATATCAGAGCCCTAGAAGACTACTTTTGTCCACACTTTTCATTTGTACATATCTCTCGTCTCTTGTCTTTTATTTCTTACGAGATATTGAGTTTCACTAAAAGAATTTTTTAATTTTATAATATTAAATTTTTAGGTGCTTGTGGCACTTGAAGTGCCAAGAGACAGCTCTCAAATTTGAATTCGAGACAGTTGAATACCTCTCCAAAATGGAATCACTCTAAGATGGCGGTGGAATTTCATTGGGACTTTGCCAACTGTCACTGCTAGGTGAACCGTAGACAGGGAGGAAAATGCTTTCTTCACAATTTCCCAAGTCCAAGCACTCTGTTTTCAGTTTTCACAGGTTTTGTCTCGATTCACTACAAGAAAACTTAGATATAGTGACAAATATATTGAGACAAATACAATGTTAGCCTCTAAAACTTACTTATTGCAACAGATGTATTATCAGCCTCAATAGCCAATGATATTTGCCTCAGATTCTTTATTTCAATTTTGATTTATTTTAAGTAAATTTCAAATATTCATTTTAATGACAATAAATATTATGTGTCACTGTATAATTATATCTAAGCAGACAAAACTAAGTATTAGACGTTGATGGAATGAACTTTTAAAAGCTTTAGTATTACCGGCCAATCATATAGTCGCATAATCACTCTCATATGGTGGCAGCCTACAATTTGTGCCGCCGTATCATGCAAAAATAATTGGTGGTTTTTAACTTTTAAGGAATAATTAAGAAAAGGGATTATTGACACGCTAAAACACAACACCAAACTGCGACCAAGTGTAATCGTAGTCCGAAAATGTAGAATAGTGGTAAGTTCTAATGTCAACCCGGGGTCTAGATCTACTGCCTACTCCGTGAATATCTATTATCTAGCCAACTAAGTCAAGTGATTGTTGATTTAACTAAAAGCAATAAGAAAGCAGGAAATGATTCGGTTTTCTAAAGCAAAGAAAGAGTCACTCGGGAATGAGTCCCCCTAGCTCCCTAGTTAGGTCACAGTTGTAACTACCCTTGGTTGATTTACTGTTGATTAAACTGCGGAGATCCGACAGTAGCTTGGAATCTCTTAAGCTGACCAAGCCCTCTCAGTCCAACTACCCGACAGGCGACTAACCTTCACCGGGATAGAAAGCTGAGGCTATGAACACAGTACTCCACTACTGAAATTGGATTCCAGTACAAAGCAGTAGATTGACTAACTCTCGTATAACCAATCTACCACTACCGAATGATGAAGCTCTAACAACCTAATCAGATTCTATATATCTCATGTTGCAGCAAAAATCAAGAAAAGATGATCAGAGTTCAATTGATTCAATGAATCATGCATCATTCGATTATAATCAAACAGTATAACAATCCCAAGTCATTACAATCAAGATTCCTAACACATGGCACTAGGGTTCTTCATACCCAAGTGAGAGAAAGTTCTACTCCATAGAGAGAGAAAGGAAAAAAGAATACAAAGCAGTCATACTCATAACAATGGGAAGAATATGCTCTGGGATGTCAATCTTCACTCTTGGGGATGCAATCTGGGCTTCACTGGTGAGAAATCCACTCCAAATAGCTCCTAGGGTTTGTTCTTCGTCCTTTCTCTCTCTAAAACTCTGTTTTTGCTCCAAAAAGTCGACTCTCTCTCCTTTGGCTCGAAATTGGGTTAAAACCCAGAAATTCCCAATCACACGGCCGTGTGGAATCCCCAGCTGCCCGTGTGCGTGTGTAAAACGTGGCGTTTCGATAAGTGGACTTCAGGCAAGCTACACGGCCAAAACCACACGGTCGTGTGGAATTTCCAGGATACCCGTGTGAAGGCTCGGTGATTTCCACACGGCCACATGGGTTCCCTTACATGGTCAGTGTGGCTTGCCCGTACAATTTGATGTCACACGGCCGTGTAGGTTTTTAGGCGTGCCCGTGTGGCTTCCTCAGCTTCTCGCCAAAGGTCCGATCTTCGTCCAATCGACCCCGAACTCGTTCCCAAACATTCATTCACGTACTAGGACCTGAAATATCACAAACAAGAACAACCTAGCGTGAGATCGGCCTAAAACACGAGAGATAAGACTCAAACGGTGTAAGAATGGTGGGCAAAAACATGTGTATATATCAAGTCATCAAATTCCCCCACACTTAACCGTTTGCTTGTCCCCAAGCAAACCAAGTCAGATACAAGGTAAGCTCAACATATTTCAATCATACCAACCTTGGGGACAACTCATAGAGGCACAGAACACGCGAATCGTACTGGCTTTCAAACATCAACACATGAACAACTTCAATAGCAGCCTGTACAACCACCACAGAGGACATTCGAGTGTAGCAAAATCGAGTAAAGGAGGAGTCTCCCTTCTGTTCATCAACTAACATAGACTTGACTCAACCACTTACTCAAGACAGTCACCTCATGCACAAAACTCAAGATATCAGAATTGAGACCAAGCAATCTAGGTCCTCACCGGGGTAAAAGAGTATAGAGAATATGAGAAAATGAATCGCTCACTCTCGACCAGTGGGGTCAGGGCAATTTGATGCAAAAAATTCGCATGCTTATTCTCTCAGTCCCTAACATCTCTTCACCATGACGGCAGCCTCTAAATGTTAGAGTTCGCATAAATGGGTGTCATCACTAACTAATCCAGAGGTCTTAGACACAGGTTCAAATGACTGGCTAAGGTCTTGGACATGGGGAAAAAGCCTTTTAGGTGGTGGTAGTATTCATAGCACAAGGTTCCACATTTTCCAACACAATCACAGTCAATCAAACCACATACTTTCTTTCTGCCATTCTACATTACTCACATTCTCTAGAGTACAAGAGCGAAGGAAGTCACAATAATGTTAGTATTTCCAAGCCAGACTGCTAAGAAACACTACTTAGTGGGCACTATTCAGATTTTTGGTGGTGGCTCTCTTTCGTTTTCATTCATTTTTTTCTTTTCTTTTTCATTTCTTGAGAGAACCACCACATATGCACATTTTTCAAACACATGCCCAACTTTTTAAGAACTACCTCCAACCCTCACATTATATTTTTCAGATTCGCCACCCTGTATATGATTGCCGCTCTAGATGATTCGTCGATCTAAATCTAACTCTCGTAAGTGGAACGTGTTCAATTATATCTTAATTTTCTAGAAAAATGTATAAGAGGACGCACGGTGAGACGACTCAATAAAGGCAAAGAATCAGAACAATTGGTATTGGCAAATTGGGATCTCGATCAAGGATTGCTCCCTCATACATGTTTTGGTGTTGAATCAGGTATTCTATTTATTTTCCTAGTTTGGGATGTTATGTTAGATTTTTGGTGTTCTTGAATCCAACCACCAGTATCTTTACTTTTTGGATACAAATTCTTTGTTTAAGTCCTCCAATTCTGCTCTATACGATCAATCGTTTGTCAATTAGTTAAATTCTTTTAACATGCCCTAAAACTCAAGTATAAATGTTTAAAAATCGAATGTCCCTGAAATCAATATATAACATTACTTTTATGCACATGTTGTATTACCATCGGTACCAAATGCACTTCCATAGGTCAAATGTTGGTGGAATGCGCATTTCTGAAGAAAGTAGTTATTAGTTGTCTTTTGGCCTGATTTTTTTAGGTTCGCCATGTGAACCAACCAAATTCAGCATGCACTTTCCTTCATACATTTTATAGAATTCGATTTCGTTACTAGATAATGAGTTTGATAATCGTAAGGGTGGATCTACTCAGTCAGATCCTTGTAGTCAGGTAATATACATTGTCTTTTTATTGAATCTTTCTTTGTTTGGTCAAATTTTCTTGCACCGTACACTAATATCATAATATTCTAGAACATAGGGATTAACATATGTGTTATTGAAGAGTTTATGGAGTCTTGGTGTTGATGTTGCTATACCAGGTGTGTGCAGTAAAGATCCAAAGAAATTGTAGGCGGAAAGAACTGAGGATTGGATTTGCTGAGGTATTTATCATAGTACTAATCAAGTGTGATGAGGCTTAAATTGATCATCTGGAAGTTATCAGTTTATTGAGGATGTGGTAGTACAAAGTACTGCTTAGCCATCTAGCTTTGTTAGTCAATTCCTCTACTACGGTTTGATTCATTGTAAATCAAAATATTATTTTCGATAGAGGTTGATCAAGTTTGAGGACTTCTCGTGAACACGCATTGGTGATGAAGTTGTACTTAGTTATACCTGCTATAGTATTGGCGCGTAGTATTTAGCTTATAGTATGTATAGTAAGTAAGAACATGAAATGTTAGCATTCTTCTTTTTTCTTCCCATTTAGCATTGTCATTTGCTTGAACGATTTGTAAGAATATTTACATTTATACTAGTTAATTACACTTTCACTTTCATTTGTTTCGCTTATGTAAAATATCGTAATTATAAGATCTTGGAACATAATTTAATATTTATTATACGAGTTTTCTAATATATATATATATATATATATATATATAACGGAAAAAAATCATGCTCACAAAAACATATCCTAAACACCAACAAGTATTTGTGCCTCTAAAAGTAGAAGAAATATTATGTAAATGTGAAATTAGCGACAAAAAAATATCCATTAGAGGCACATAGTTTACGCTTATAGATTAATTTAATAATATAATTGTCTCCAAAATGTATTATGGAGGCATAAATATCTATCGCCAATATTAGCATTAGTGGCAAATATGGTTGCTACTAAATTGAGAAAAGGGAACAGTAAAATAGTAATTCAAAAGTGAAATTTGCAACATAACTATCTGTCGAGAATTAATAAGTTACAGGCATATAATATTTGCCGCTAACATCTGCCGCTAAAGAGATTTAGCGGTAACAGTATTGACAGCACATAATTATGTGCCGTTATAAAGCTACAATGGCACATAAATCGCTTATCGTGGCAAATACACTTAGCCGCTAATAGTCATTTTTCTTGTAGTGATTCGCTCTCTTTTAACAACACCATCAATAATTGCAGGCCTGTCATTTGCATCAGATGCATTACTAGAAGCAGATGAGCTTTCACTTTCCTGCAATAGCTTTCCAGCTAGAGATGCAAGTAACTCAAATGCGTAGATTTGGCTGTCCTCAACTATCCTCTTATTAAAGGCCCTCTGTCAAGTAAAATCATGAAATGCCAGTTGTTAGAAAGACCATTCCTCTATACGCAATAGCACAGTAACTCAGAAAGGAAAAACATTATAAGTGCTTACTCTGGCAGATCTGGGAGCCTTGGGAACATAAGGGAAGTGGAGATTGTTAAAACCATGAGATTGTCTCTTCTTAAACACCATATCTGAAGCATACATTCTATATGGGCACTTATCAAACAAGAATTGTTGCAATCAAGGATCACAACACAAATCTACAACAGACCCATCAAGACTAAGGTCAAGCAAGCAATTACTGGACAATAATTCATCTCCAGAATTGGAATTCTTGCTCTAGAGAACAATTTGCCAATAATTGAGCAATGCCCACAATAATTATAAAAAAAAAACAGAGGCAACACCAGAAGAAGATTACCGATTTCCAAAAACAAGTAGAACCTCCTGGAATTCAAATAAGGCTGCTGACTTGTTTTAGAACAAAAAAACATTGAAACTCGATATCCTCTTTGGAAAAAAAAACTGCAGTTCCCTCCCAAACCCAGAATTCCGACAAACCACCTCACATCCACAATCAGATCTCGATCTCGGGTGACGAAAGCAAAACAGAGAATCACTTACATACTTAATTTTTTTTGTTTTCGTATCACGGCGAGATCGAAAGAATTGCAGCTCGCTAGCACACAATTGAAACAAAACAATCGTGGGACAAAACAGGAGCAAGGAAGAAGAAAGTGGAGAAGGGTATTCGACCAACATTAGCCTGATCTAACACTTACCACCACTGACCTCGAGATTAACGTCAATCTTGGGAGGATTCTGTCGAACAATATGTACAGGAAGAGCCCAACTGAGCTTACCCGACGCAGATCCGGATCGGAAGCAGAAATCGAACCAGGCCGAAGAGATTAGGGGAGAGAAAACCCTGCAAGCCTCCAAGAAAAATCCAACAATCAACCCAAAACCCAGATTTGACAGCGGCGCCGAGAATACTCGCAATCCAAAAACCATAATCGCAATCCAACTCCCAAACCCATATTGGTTGTGGCTCCCTTCTCCTTACCACAAACTCAATACCCATAATCGCAATCCAAAATCCAAAATCGCCTGCTTGTCCGCTTTATAAAGGAAGCCGGAAAGCCTCCGCCCTCTTGAGGCAGGGTGAAGTTGTGGATGGTGGGGGAGACAGATCCCATAGTAGATTGGGGAGAAGACGACGAGGGGGAAGCGGGAGAGATTTGTGCACGCAGCGGCGTAGTAGAGGAGATTGATGCCGCTCTCCCTTTGTTCGCGTCAAAAACCAAAATATGAGGAGGAAGAAGGAGGGTTTTAATTTGGTGAGGGGGAACGAAGAAGAGGGATTGAGAAGGCGTAGAAGGAGAATTGAGGGTGGACAAATTGGGAGGGTGGAATGGAGGAAAGGGCGACCAAATTAAAATTTTGGACAAAATTCTGGGCGGGCGACAATTTGGGTGCTCACTGTCAAATTTTTTAAATCCAAATCCGTCAAGCTCTCGCAAAATAATTTTTTGGGCGGGACTGAAAGTTGGGTGGGGAAAATATGTGTCGGCCAGGTCGATTGGTTTCAGTCTAACACAAGTAAATTTGATGAAAATGTCTTTTGTCAAAAACGAAACCACTATATTAGGACGAACATTCTTTTTGTCAAAGCCAAAACCACTATATTGTGACGAACATGCCCTTTTGTCAGCTCGCCGTGAGATTACTGTTATCTATTGTGACAAAATACTGTCATTTAGACAGTTCAGGAAGGCATAATATGACAAAAACTACTCTGACGAAATAATTTGACACTTTTGTGTCCCTTACATTCCGATATGGGATGCCTATTTGAACAAACTTAATTGTGACACGAAATATTTGTCACATCACTCACTTCAAATGACGAACTATTCTGACAACAAGAAATTTGTCATTGTTGAGTCTCTTACATCCCGATATGGGACGCCTATTTTGACAAAATTAATTGTGACACGAAATATTTGTCACATTACTCACTTTAAATGACAACTTATTCTAACAATAATGTTTTTGTCACATTAGGCATACCAAATAAGACATATATTATTTTTTTCATATCACAATACCTAATGTGACAAACAGAAATGACAAAATAAAAAATTTGTCCTAATAGGCCGAATTTGTTGTACTCTTCCCCGTCATTTGATAGACTGTTGATAGCAAATGCCATATAGGCTACTTCACACTCTTGATATTCGTCAGGATCATAATCACTCGAGGAGGCCTTCATTCCCCTTTCTTTTGCTTTTAGAGTCATTGAACAATTTGCTCTGATATGACCCATTTTTCCACATTTGTAGCATCCCTATACTTCTTTTTCCTGGTATCCTGGATCATAATTCATGGTCTGCATAGACTGCAGCCTATCTTGGGAAACACTTTTGGAACGATCCTAAGCATTATTCCTAGAATCTTCATAACGTCGCTTCCGGTTGTTTTTAAATTTCAACATGTGATGGAAACATTTATTGACTAAGGCAAACTCCTTATCAAAGTTGCTATCAAAATCATTATCCTGTCCATAGTTCACAGCTTTGGATTTGAAAGCTAAATTATTTCTGCATTTTTCATCATCCTAACCAAGTTGTTTTGTAACATGTTCGTGACTTAGCAAAGATCCGATTAGTTCATCTATAGAGGGTTCTCAAATCCTTTGCTTCCTCAATAGCAGTGCGTTTAGGCAACCAGGTTTTAGGTAGAGATCTAAGAATTTTTCTATTCAAATCTTTTGATTGAAAAGTTCTCCCTAGGCCTTTCAATTTGTTTATTAGAACCATAAACCGAGAATACATCTCTTGGATGCCTTCATTTTCTAGCATGTTAAAAGCCTCATAATCATGCATTAGCAAATCAATACGAGTTTCTTTTATATTAGAGGTACCTTCATACGTGCTTTCCAATGCACACCAAATATCGTTGTCCATTTCACAATGCTCTACCTTGTTAGCCTCGTCTGGAGTCATTGATGACTGCAACATATGCATCACATGTTGATTTAGTTTACCACTCTTCTTCTGAGTAGCGGACCAAGTGATTTGTTCTTCGATTTTCATTTGTAGCGTCCCATTTTCAACAATAAGCCAAAGATCCTCGTCGATTCCCCAGAGAAATTATTTTAATCTCTTTTTCCATGTTGTGTAGTTTGATCCGGTGAAGATCGGAGGAAGATTCAAAGCGGCATGTCCAAAAGAGTTAGATGCCATGGATCGTTTACTTCGCGGTAATTAGCTCCATCAAGACCGGTGCTCTGATATCAATTGTAAACTCCTTTCCAGGAGATTTCAATGAATATTGAAAGACTTATTTAAGGAAAATTAAAAGGAAAAAAAAAACAAGTCAAAATAAATAAAAACAAAAAGAACACTAATGTGTTCTCCTTCGCCAGAGGCTTCACTTGTAACTGGGGTTTAGTTAAAGCCTTAGCCTAATAGAACCAATTGAACAGAAGCTAAGTGGCAGGCTCATTAAAATAGACACTCGTTCAAATTATAGTTGCTGGAAACGAAACAGAGAAAGTCTCTGTTTTCTAGAGCTTTGAACAGAGTCGGGGGGAAAGAACACAAGCAGAAAAATGAAAGTGCGGAAATATAAATGGAGGCCAGGATTTTAACGTGGTTCGGCCAAGGATGGCTTTACTCCACATCCCAGAACCAGCACCACTGATTCTAGGAGACTTATGTTTTTTTATTGATTTTGATCTCTCAAAGAACGAAGAAGAAGAACAACAACAACAAGAACAAGACTCGATGATAATTTCCCTAGGACTCCAACCCAGATCTCGTACAACCTCAATCAATCAGAACCTCTACCTTTGATTATTGAGACCTTTTGCAAACCAAAGCCATCTACCACTTTCTCTTCACAAAAGTTGCTTTTGAATATGCAAAGGTAGTGCATTTTATAGCAAAGAAGATGGTCGTTGATCATGAGTTGTAGGCTAAACATCTTTCCTTAATAATGAAACTTGATTGCTGGAGTGATACGAACAATGATTGAAAAATCAATCAATTTGCTTTCCTTGATCTTGTGGCAAATCAAGATGTCGATTTTCCCAATTTTGTCCATATCTTCGATTTGGCTCTTGATTGATATCATCCATATGTTTGATTTGGCTCTTGATTGATAAGGATTCAACCAAACAATTCTGATTTCCTTTTATTCGTCCAACACCTAATGCCATTCTCAATCATCATAATAGGATGCACTCGATCACAAGTAAACAATCCAAGGTCAAAGCCAATAAACACAAGATTCTCCCACAAACCGGCCACTTTGATCATGCAATGCTTGGGGCCCTCAAATTTTTGAAATTTGGGCATAATTCTAGGCTCCAGGCAAACCAATTTCACACACAATCACATGCCAATCACAAATGATACACCCCCCACACTTAAGCACGACACTGTCCTTAATGGAGAACAATGATAGGGGTGAAGAAGTTACCGACCAATGGCAAGCGAAAGTTGGACAAATACCGGGGTAGGAGAATTGAGCTTCAAAAAGAAGAAGAAAACAAAAAACACATACATTCTCGCTCGAGGTGAGGTTATTACATATAGGGTGAAGAAGTTACCGACCAATGGCAAGCGAAAGTTTGACAAATACCGGGGTAGGAGAATTGAGCTTCGAAAAAAAACAAAAAACACATACATTCTCGCTTGAAGGTCGGAGTCTATCAAGGTACTTGATTCCTCGATCCCCCTTCAGCACCAGCTTCATGTTGTATAATGTATCCACGGGGAAGACTCAGTCCGGACAATGGAGAATCCCATCAAATCAACCCGAAGTGTCGGGCCAACCTCGTGATGATGCCTCCAATTGCATCGTGTCCACACGATCACGCCCCCAGCGCTTTGGCGACTGTGGTGGTCACCACCGAACCCAGATGGAGTGGTGCTGCAAAGCGGCTCAAGGTATGGAGGCTATCAAACCTCTGTTGGTGATCATTTGTGTCGATCTCAAGCTGCAGATGATCGATCTGGTGATCAGCATGTGTAGGATCCTCCACAGAGTCCAGAGCTTCACTGCATTAGTGGTGGTCTGGTGGATCCCTTGAACTCGTCGTTCTGGTGCGCTGAAAGGCAGACGGCATGGAATGCCTCATCGAAGTCAGCTGTGTACTTGACTCGCATGAAACTAGACCATAATTAAACCCCAATTAGAGCCCAAGTTTTTAAACTCTAATCGGGTGCAGTATAGGGCAAGTATCTATATATCGACCCGAGACAGTCCGTCTATCCCTACTTCGGTTGTTGAAATCATTATCTAGCTATAAAACTTTGATTTAAAGGTTTGCTAATTTAAATGAAAGAAATAAAAGGTAATTTGGTTTGAAAACTCTTTTGCCAGAAAGTCACTCGGGTTTTGCTTCCCCCTAACCGCTACCATGCTACGTGGATTGGAACGATTGCCTTGGGCACGTTAATCGTGAACAGCAGAGGAAAGCATATGTGGTCGAAGACCAAAGTCTCAATTGCTAAACCGAGGTGAGAATGAAAGGCCGTGTCACTCGACCCTCTCGGTTTAGACAATCGGTAATTAGCTTACTCCCTCACTCAACTCTAAGGTTGGACGACTTAACCACGATTAATCGACTTGTTCAATTCAATATTGAGGGTTGCCCTAAGTCAACCTAGTTTAGGTGGCTTAGAAAGCGGAAGGAAAACCAACTCGATTGAGTCTCCCTTGAAAAGGGGATTTTTCTCTCTAAACTAGGCTAAGGTGGAAAATTAGATTACTAGCACCTACATGCACAAACTTAGGGGTGCTAAGCACAATTATGCACAATCCCTAGGATGCTAAGCACAAAATATGCACAACCCTTAAGTTGCTAAGCACAAGCATGCACAATCATGGTGAATAATGCCTCAAACATTAAATTGAACAATACCCAACATCAATCATCCAAACCACATACAAGAAAACTACATGGTAGAGTTAGGGTTTCACTACACCCAAGTGAAAGGAGGACTACTCCATGGAAGAAGTGGAAAGAACAAAAGGGAAAAAGGTGGAAACCATCTTTTGGGGATGCCTCCTTTCTTCTTCAACCTTGAGCTGAGATCTCCTTGGGGAAATCTTCCCAAAATCTTCCTTGAAGCCAAACCCTAACCTCTTCTTCTCTTTGGTTCTGTTTCTCTCACTAAAATGTTAAAGAAGGTGTTTCTCTCTCAAAAGTGGGCTCTCCCCTCTCTCCTCCTTGCAACTC